TGGCTGGGTAAATAAATAACATTTCCCGGAGATGGGTTGCGGCTGGAAGGGCATCCGCTACGTAAAAACTTGCTGGATAAGTTGGCGGTTCATTGCGCTGTGGCGACCTTAGATTAATAAAGGGATTAAGCCGACAAGAAAATGAATGAATGAAATAAATAACATACAGTTAAAAAAATATTGAAAATGCTTTATTTTTTATTACATTTTAAGTTTCAGACACTTGAGTGTTCTTATCTGTTTATACACTCTAAAAAACGTTGAGTTATTTCTTCAACCCAATGGTTGAGTTAAACATATTTGGTGCGTTGTTGGGTAATTTTTAACCTATATTAGGTTATTTAATAATAACTCAACCAGTTGGATTAAATATTTGATGCTTTGTTGGGTTATTTTTAACCTTTATTTGGTTATTTATTTAATAACTCAACCAGTTGGGTTAAAATTTAGAATTTCAACAGTCAACTGATTTAACTAACACAGATCAGCTGTATTAATATGCGTACGTAATGTTGGTTTTGCGTTGTAAAGTTTATTTAAGCTCTAACGTAATAATATTGGTGTTATTTATTATTATGAAATGACCTCTCGTGTTGCGTTTTTTTCTATTCCTTTCACCAGCACTCTTAATTATTGATGATACAAACGTATGCTTCATGGCCGATAAAACACTTTCTCTACCTCCCATGTTTATCTCTACAGTTATTTTGGGGAGAAAATGTTGCACATATTTGGGATATTTGGCTGTCATTCTCGACTTTAGGACCCAAATTTAAATTATATAACCCAATGCATTGGGTTAAAAATAACCCATAGTTGGGAAGGTGCTACAATAACCTATAGTGGATGTTGAGGTGTTTTTAACCCAACTATTTTAACAGAGTACAGATCGGCTTTGAAGTGTGTGCTTGTATGATGCTGAACCATCCAAATAAAGCCATATGAATTCAATCCATCTTTATTTCTATAGCACTTTTACAAGGTAGATTGTGTCAAAGCAGCTTCACATAGAAGTTTTAATAAATTGAAACTGTGTCAGTCCAGTTTACAGCATTCAGTTCACAGATGAAATGCAGATTATTACCGTTCACTCCTTAAGTAAACGCTGTTTGTTTTCACTGTTTATTTTCTGTAATCTTGCACGTTGTATAGCAAATACCCCAACATATAACCCAACTATAGGTTATTATAGCACCTTCCCAACTATAGGTTATTTTAACCCAATGTATTGTTTTATATAATTAACCCAATGCATTTGGGTTGTTTTGATTAAATGTTATTTTTTTCCATTCTGGTATTACTGTTGCTATTATTACTAGTACTACTATTCATTTAATAATTATGGCTGGGTAAATAAATAACATTTCCCGGAGATGGGTTGCGGCTGGAAGGGCATCCGCTACGTAAAAACTTGCTGGATAAGTTGGCGGTTCATTGCGCTGTGGCGACCTTAGATTAATAAAGGGATTAAGCCGACAAGAAAATGAATGAATGAAATAAATAACATACAGTTAAAAAAAATATTGAAAATGCTTTATTTTTTATTACATTTTAAGTTTCAGACACTTGAGTGTTCTTATCTGTTTATACACTCTAAAAAGCGTTGAGTTATTTCTTCAACCCAATGGTTGAGTTAAACATATTTGGTGCGTTGTTGGGTAATTTTTAACCTATATTAGGTTATTTAATAATAACTCAACCAGTTGGATTAAATATTTGATGCTTTTTTGGGTTATTTTTAACCTTTATTTGGTTATTTATTTAATAACTCAACCAGTTGGGTTAAAATTTAGAATTTCAACAGTCAACTGATTTAACTGACACAGATCAGCTGTATTAATATGCGTACGTAATGTTGCTTTTGCGTTGTAAAGTTTATTTAAGCTCTAACGTAATAATATTGGTGTTATTTAATATTATGAAATGACCTCTCGTGTTGCGTTTTTTTCTATTCCTTTCACCAGCACTCTTAATTATTGATGATACAAACGTATGCTTCATGGCCGATAAAACACTTTCTCTACCTGCCATGTTTATCTCTACAGTTATTTTGGGGAGAAAATGTTGCACATATTTGGGATATTTGGCTGTCATTCTCGACTTTAGGACCCAAATTTAAATTATATAACCCAATGCATTGGGTTAAAAATAACCCATAGTTGGGAAGTCGGCTTTGAAGTGTTTGCTTGTATCATCAGTAATTAAGAGTGCTGGTGAAACAGATATAAAACACACAACATGGTGATGTAATTAAAAAAAACAACAACATTATTGCGTTATAGCTTAAATAAACTTTATAACGCAAAAACAACATTACATACGCATAACTGTTCTGTGTCAATTAAATCAGTTAGCTGTTGAAATTCAAAATTTTTAACCCAACTTGAGTTATTAAACAAATAACCTAATAAAGGTTAACAATAACCCAACAACGCACCAAATGTTTAATCCAATTGGTTGAGTTATTAATAAATTACTCAATAAAAAAGATTTAAAAATAACCCAACAAAGCACCAAATATTTTTTACTCAACCATTGGGTAAATAAATAACTCAACGTTTTTTAGAGTGAAGAAACAGAACAAAGTACAGACAGTTATAAACTGTGCGAGCAGAAAATCATGTGTTGGAGCAGAATATGGAGCTCTGTGTGTTGTAGCAGCTGCAGCAGGCTCCACTCTGTGTCTACAGAGTACAATACAATTTACCCACATCCAAACGCTTCTAAAATATGCTCTTGGATAGTAAAACAGATGTAAAAAAACAAGACACAGAGAGGTAATTTGATAAAAAATAACAACAATATTACTGCGATATAGCTTATATAAACTTTATAACGCAAAAACAACAATACATATGCATATTAATTGGGTATATGTCGAGCTAGTGTTGTTTCCCATACTTATAAACTTCCTGTGACCGGTTATTGCGTTTTTTCCATCATTCTCTGTAAACCCTAGAAATGGTTGTGCATGAAAATCCCAGTAGATCAGCAGTTTCTGAAATACTCAGACAATGACTTGCTGTATGTGTATTATAAATATTACATGGTAAAACTGAATTAAGAACACAATGGATGGTTTTGAGCCTTATTCATAAAATATAACTGATGCATAAAGTAAATGGCTTTGTTTTTGCTTTAAATAAAATGCTACTATATTTATTTCTTTTTCCTAGCTAAAATAGCATTGAAGGCCTTCAGTTGCTTCAAAGAGCTTAGAATGGCCAAGAGGCGACACTCAATAGAACGTTCCATTGCAATAGCAGCGCCCAGCTACAGCCCCGGATTACGCCATTTTGGAGTAAAAGCGGTCGGCTGTCCATTGGATCCTATTGCTGTCGTGATGGTGAGCAGCTGCTTTGTTTTTTATTTATTTATTTTAAAAGCGCGTTAAAGCTGAGATACAACCTGACAGACGACAAAACAACATTTACTATGACAATCATCAGCACTTTTAATAGTTTATTTTGCAGACTTATAATATGCTGTTCTATTGGAGTTTTCATTCCAAAATGCCCGCCGCGCCATCTAGTGGCTGTTTCCCAAATTGCACTAGAGTGTCGCCTCTTGGTGATTCTATGCTCTTTGGTTGCTTTAAAAGGGTTAATTAAGAACCTGGAATCAGAACAGATTCCAAACAGTAGGGAATCAATCAGCTCTGTGTGAGGACTCTATAGCTGTCGTGTCATTATTGGCGCCTCTAGTGGTGTGAAATGGGATTGTGGATAATGAAAGTGTGTTTTACCTGTTCAGCGATCTCGTGTCTTTTCTGTTCAAGCATCTTCTGTTGTTCATTAGTGTGATCGATAATGTTTTTCCCACCAACCAGCAGCTTGCTTTCCATCGCCTGGCAACCAAAAAAAAACAAAAAAACATCATATTTATTATTACACAGGCAGCAACAAGTCCAAAAGCCAGAGTCTGTCATGGTGTGGGGTTGTGTCAGTGCCCTTGGCAAAGGTAACTTGCACTTCTGTGATGGCACCATTAATGCTGAAAAGTACTTAGAGATTTTGGAGCACATTATGCTGACATCTTTTCCAGGGATGCCCATGACAACAAGACAATGCAAACCTACATCCTGCACACATTACAAAGCCCTGGCTGTGGAGGATACAGGTACTTGACTGGCCTGCCTGTAGTCCTGACCTGTGTCCAATAGAGAATGTGTGGTGCATTTTAAAGCGCAAAATGCAACAACCTACTGTTGACGACCTTGAGACTTGTTTGCAGGAAGAAAGGGACAAAATTACACCTGAAACACTTCATCACTTGGTATCTTAACGTCATAAACGTCTTTTAAGTGTTGTGAAAAGGAATGGCAGCATTACAAAGTGGTAAATGATTTACTGGTCCAACTTTTTTGATGTGTTGCAAGAACCAAAATTGTAATACGCGTTTATTTAAAAAAGAGCAAACACAAAACAAAAAACAATAAAAATCCTGAGGAACACATTAAATAATGTTTGTTGTATTGTCTGCAACTAAATACAAGTCAAAGTAAATTTAGAAAAAAAACTATTTTTTTTATTTGTGTTTTTTTTATACGGTCCCAACTTTTTCCGATTTTGGGGTTGTAATACATATTATTTACTTTATTTATAGTAAATATCATTAATTTATGCTAAAAAACATAATAAATAGCTGAAATAAAAATTTGTTAAATAATAAGTTTCAAATTTAATTTAAATTGTTTTATTCTGTTTTATTGATGAATACAAATTGAGTAGCATGCGTGTTTAGAACTGTTGCACTGCTTCACATTTCTATTTCAGTATTCAGCATTAATAATTAATTTCTTCAGTTTCAGTTTCTTTCCTTCTTTTTTCAGGTCAACTGATGAACAAAAAGTTTAAAACAACCATATTTGTTTGCTTTTTTATTGTCGCTTTGGTTTCAATTTAATAGAAATTTTAATTAAGTTATAAACAGTATCAAAATGTTTTAGTGTAAGTCAAATAGACCTCCTTGGCGTGGATTTCCTCCGGGTGCACCGGTTTTCCCCACAAGTCCAAAGACATGCGCTATAGGTGCACTTAATAAACTAAATTGTCCGTAGTGTACGAGTGTGTGTGAGAATGAGTGTGTGTGGGTGTTTCCCAGTACTGGGTTGCATTTAAAAGACCATCCTCTGTGTAAAATATATGGTGGATAAGTTGGTGGTTCAATCCGCTGTGGCGACCCCTGATAAATAAAGGGACTAAGCCGAAGAAAAATAAATGAATGATAAATAGACTTCTGAGCCAATCAGATTTAATGGTGGGCGGAGCTACAGTGTGAGCTGCATAAATATAAAACCTGCTCAATGTTTCTTCAGAATTGATCACCATCACTCAAACTGCCAGTGAGTGACTTGATAATCAACAGCCAGAAATGTCTGTCAGTGTGAAGGACTTTTTTCGAAAGCACGACGAAAATAACCTCACGCTCAAAATATCCTCCCCCACCGACACACACAGAGCTCTCTTTGTGGACATCGGCAGCTCCAGAAACACACAAAGATTATTGTCAGAAGGCCACAACTGGGACAAAGAGTGAGCGCAGAACTACATCTGACCCGCTCCAGCTCAGCACATCCAAAACACTCTGTCAGAACACATCAGACTTCACCACACGCACAAAGAACAGAGAGAAAATAACAGGGCAGGATGAACAGAAAGTGCTTTTTGTCTCGAGGGATGAAAGAAAAACCTTCTGCATTAAATGTACAGAGAGGCAGAGGAGGCGGAGACAATCCTAAACCTCATTAGCATACATATGAATAGTAATTAGGGGAAGAAACATTCAGCTGTTTAATGGCCGTCACTAAAGAAAATATTTTTGCTGCTTGTTTATTCATTTTCTTTTCGGCTTAGTCCCTTTATTAATCAGGGGTTGCCACAAGGGAATGAACCGCCAACTTATCCAGCATATATTTTACGCAGCGGATTCCCTTCCAGCTGCAACCCACCACATCCAAAAACACTCATTCACACATATACGCACAAGTTTATTACCCTATTCACCTATAGCGCATGTGTTTGGACTATGGGAGAAATTGGAGCACCTGGAGGAAACCAAAGCCAACACGGGAAGAACAAACTCCACACAGAAATGCCAACTGACCCAGCTAAGGCTCGAACCAGCGACCTTCTTGCTGTGAAGTGATTGTGTTACCCACTGCGCCACCGTGACGCTAAATCAACACAATAGAGAGTTTTTTGGGACAACTTAATTGTTTTATGTTCAATCCACTTAAATTTTTAATTAAAACCTAAAATCTACTTCGTGTGGAACCTAGCAATATTTACAGTGTTAAAGCAGTGTTAAAATACAAAATGCTTAATAATTTTTTTATTTTTAAATGGCAAACTCGGGAACTGGGAGGCCCCCAATAGTAACTTTTGGGGCCCCAAAATGGCGTGGGCCCAAAGATTCATGCTAACCACAACCTAGCAGCACCCCTGATTCCTTTACACACTCAGATCTTAAGTAGAAGTAATGTTTTGTTTTTTAGTTTAGTTTATAATATATATTTTATTCTATTTATCTTCTTTTTATTTCAGTCTTAGTACGCTAGTAGTGTCCAAACACAAAATAATCACAAAATAATGAAAGAAATTGAAATAAACAATAAAAAAATTTGGTTTTAAAATAAGTATGGTCAACTTTAAAATATAAGCATGTTTAAGACATTTAATTCACAAAAAAGAAATGTAAATTAACTGGTGCTTAACACTTTACACACTCAGATCTTATAAGTGGAAGTAATGTTTTGGTTTTTATTTTAGTTGACATAGCTACATTTTATATATTATTTTTTATTTAGCCGGCAGCTAGCTCTCTGCAACTCTCACTTGGTCACCCACTGAAGCTAAGCACGGCTGTGCCCGGTCAGTACCTATATGGGAGACCACATGGGAAAGCTAGGTTGATGTTGGAAGTGATGTTAAGGAGGCCAGCAGGGGGTGCTCAACATGCAGTCTGTGTAGATCCTAATGCCCCAGTATAGTGACGGGGACTCTACACTGCACAGGGAGCGTTGTCTTTCAGATGAGATGTTAAACCGAGTTCCTGACTCTCTGTGGTTGTTAAAAATGCCAGGATGCCCTTCGAAAAAGAGTAGAGGTTAAACCTCGGTATCCTGGCCAAATTTGTCCATTGGCCTCTGTCCATCATGACCCCATATCATAATTGGGTAATCATCAGTCTGTCTCCTATCCACCAGTGCGCTCTAGCGCAATATGGCTGCTATGGTGTAATCCAGGTGGATGCTGAGGAGATTCCTGCCAACGTGTAAAGCACTTTGAGTGTCCAGAAAATCGCTATATAAATATAAGGAATTATTTATTATTATTATTTATCTTTTTTTTTTATTTCAGTTTTTAAGTAAGCTTGTAGTATCCAAACACAAAATAATCACAATAAAATAAAATTTTGGTTTAAAAGGAGTTTTAAATGGCCTACTTTAAAATATGAATACATTTAATTCACAAAAAATAAATACAAGAAATATTTATTTTAGTTTACATAGCTACATTTCATATATTTTATTCTTTTTATTTTATTTCAGTTTTAGCATAGTAGTATCAAAATACACAAAATAATCACAAAAAAAACAAGAATTTGAAATAAAATAGTTTAATTTAGGTTTAAAGCAGTGTTGCGAGGGCTACTTTAAAATATAGTAAGTAATGTTTATTTATAAAGTGCATTTATTGTGTACGGCCATACACCAAAAGCGGTGGTGTCTCTCCACACCACCACCAGTGTGCAGCATCCACTTGGATGATGCAAGGTCAGCCACATGACAACAAGTGGCAGTGCGCTCACCACACCAGCTATAGGTACAGTGGAGAGACAGAGATAGATCCAATTCGGGGGATAGGGATGATTGGGAGGCCATGATAGGTAAGGGCCGATGGAGGGAATTTGGCCAGGATACCAGGGTTACACTCCTGCTCTTTACGAGAAGTGCCATAAGATTTCTAATGACCACAGAGAGTGAGGACCTCTGTTTAACATCTCATCCAAAAGACAGTGCTCACTGACAGTATAGTCCCCTTCACTATGCTAGGGCATTAGGACCCACACAGACCGCAGGTTCAGCACCTTCGCTGGCCTCTCTAACACAACTTCCAACAGCAACCTAGATTTCCCATGTGGTCTCCCATCCAGGTGGTGACCAGTCTCAGCCCTGCTTATCATCAGTGTGTGTCTTGGGCTGCAGGGTGATACGGCTGTGGCAATATAAATAAAAATATAACCATGTTTAATACATTTATTTCACAATGAAATTGAAAAATAAATGTAAATAAACTGGTGCTAAACCCTTCAGGTCTTAAATGTAAATAATGTTTTGGTTGTTATTTTAGTTTATATAACTCCATTTTATACATTTATCTTTATTTAACCTTAAAGCTAGATGTATCAAAACAAGTAAAAAAAAGAGGATACTGAAATAAAATCTTTTCCAAATTTAGTTTTCAATTTAATTAATAAATTATTTTGTTATGCATATTTGTCATTTTACTTAATAAACTTAATCATTTAAATAAAAAAAATATTTCTATATTTTCGTGTTTATGTTTATATACTTTTGGATATATGCTTGTCATATTTTGTTTTACGTAAACATAAATATTTAGCTTTCACACATGGGCTCAGGACTACTTGGGCACAAATTTTCAAGTACCACAATACGTAGTTACAGCCACAAATGCCAGTTAAAACTGCACTGTGCCAATAGGAAGCCCTATGTTAACAGTGTCCAGAAGCGCAGTTGACTTCTCTGGGCTAAGGTAACTTGGTAACTTGCACTTCTGTGATACACCATTAATGCTGAAATGTAAATAAAGATTTTGAAGC